GTTAGGTAGATTGTTCCAAGACAATGCTCAACAAAAACCACTCTTATTTTAAGATATTTCCTCTTATTCAGTTATGAGAGGAAAACGGAAATCAGCCAGTCACAGGATCTCCTTTGAAAATCCTTCAGATATTTGAAAATGTAACTATTTATATTGTATCTTGTTTTGCTCACAGTTGTGTCCACAGCACCTGACACATAGTAGATATACAATACGTATTTGTTCCAAGAAGAGGTCACTCTTTAGGCTTCCTCTTTCCCATGGCATTGGCAGTGATTGTAGATTTTCCCTAGTCCATCCACGGAGCCAGATTTCACAGTTCCAATGCACCCTTTCCAAACTGACTCTTAGACAAAGACTGCTGAATCAGAGTTACCCAGGCTCTGGGTAATGTTATAGGACTACTGAACCAGGCTTAATCACACATGTTTCTCCAAATATTTAGGTGTCAAAAAGCATTCAGAAATGTAAACGCAGCCTCCTCTCATATCTATCAGACCTCCTTTTCAGAATATAGCAGATTGCACAAAATGTAATTCATTTACCAAACGCTCTCTGAGCATCCCACCATTTAAAGCAATGGCAATGGCAGGAATTATTAGGATGACATTGTGAGTGAGTTTGGGGTTCCCTTCCCCCCAATTTTTCACTTGTTCCAAGTCTGATTTAAGTTTGGCCTTAAATTTTCGAGCTTTGGCTAAAAAAATGATTGGATTAGGAAGGATCCTGCCTTTTATTCACACAGTCTTTCTTCTAACAGTCTCTCTTATAGTGATTTGAAAAAAAAAAAAAAANTTCTTTGCCAACTTCGTAGTGCACAGTTCAGAGCCTTGTAGAAGATGAGCTCTCAATACAAGGGTGACTGACTCAAACTCTGGAAGTTTCTTTCTCGGTGTGACCTCGAGTTGGCCTCTTCCATGGGACTGTAATTTACTTGACCTCCATAGTTCCATTTACCTTCCCCAGGTAAAGGCTGCTGATTATTTTATCCTCCACCCAGGATCTGAACATCAGAAAGTGGGTTTTTTTTGTTGTTTGTTTGTTTTTTGGTGTGGAGGGGCTGTGCTTAGAAATGATTCTTGCTACTTTTCCTTGGAATTCCATCCCTTTAGGCTTTTTGTTGTGCAATTCCTGGGTCTGGAAATTCAAAAGTGCCTGCATCACAGACCTGGACTCACACGCCGTCAAGTCAATCTGCTTTGGAAGCTCTTGCACTAACCACACTCTTGATAACCATTTTCAGGCTGGAAAAATGGTGACTTAGCATGACAGCTTTCCAGAACTCTTTGCCAATACTGAAAACCTACACTCCAACCATTTCTCTATGTGTACTAACATGTGCTTTTCAAAGTGAGTGTCATATTCTTTTTAATCATACTTTTCTATGTTTTATGTTTGCTTATCTTTAACTCCATCTAGCTCTAGTTAGTTTGTGCCATGCTATTTAGCTCCCATTTTCAGATAACTCTTGCATCTGAAATACTTAAGACAGCTTGCATCATAGTAAGTTTTATAGACATAGAGAATAGCACATTTAGATAAGGATATCAACAAACAGAACCTCATTAAAACCACCCCTTCCTGCTTCCACATGGCAGGGTTACTCTAAGGTTTCTAAGTCATGTTTTTGGCTTTAATAGCTGGAAGGTATCATGAGGGCTAAAAGACTTTCACAAAACTTTATCCAAAATTACAGACAATTTTAAGAACCAAGGATGCGTTTACTACTGATCTATCTTTTCAAGGCTAATTTGGTCATTTGGGATACCCATCACAAAATGGTGCCCACTATCAAACAAACAATTCCTCAGATGTATTGAATAAAAGCATCAGTTTGACTGGTACCTGTTAATAAATCTATTTGGACTATGTCTTTCTAAGAGATGTGTTATTTGATTCTAATTATATTTAGCTTGGCTTATCACTAGATAGATAGTAATTTTCTGTCATGTTTTTTTTTTTTCCTGCAAGTCAACTTTTTCTCACATAGAGAATAGTGAAAGAGGATTCAGTAGTGTTAACTTAGGACTCCCCACTTTCCTACACATGCTTTCTCCTTTTTCTCAAGATACTTTTTTCCCCCTAGCTGAGGGTGGTTGACTAATAATCACCGATGGGTTAATCCTTCTACAGTTTTGAAGGAAATAAAGTCTATCAATCCTCACCCTAATGAGAGTGAAAAGTGTGGGTAATCCATCCATGAAACAACCCCTAAAAATGAAAAACTGAGAATCGTGCTGGGTAGATACCATTTGCCACTCACTTACATTTGTCGAGCTTAGATTTTGTGCTAAGTTCAGACTAAAGCAAAGACCCATCTTTTGAATATGTAGACTTGTAAGCAAACCTGGGCAGACAACAATATATTTACCAATGCAAATTCTCAAACACTCTGCAAACTTTATTTCAAGGATCTCACCTCCTATAAAGAATTAAGGGCTCTTGCCCTTAGCCTGATCACAGCGTCAATATCAAATCTCCCGAAGTGTTTAGGTTTTCTAAAAAAAAAAAAAAAACCCAGACACCGATGACTTACATCAACACCAAAGGATTCCTTTTTTAATTCCTAGATATAATGGAGAAATTCATAGGCCGAAAAATTAGGTAAATCAAGAGGTAATTACCAATGCCTGTTTCCTTGACAACTCCCCTCCCCCAGCCCTCCTGTGATAGGGAAAAACCAAAACGCGAGTGAGGAGGGGTAGCCACAGAGCCATGCTGGAGCTCAGCAAGCCAGAGCAGCAGCAGGCGCAGAAAGCCGCACGCTAGGAACGAAACACAGACAAACCCATTTTGACCACAGCTGCATTTTGTGGAGGTTTTCTTGTGGTTGCCATAGAGACGCCAGAGACGGAAGAACATGTTGCATGACACAAAAGAGAGCTGTATGTCACAGGAACGTTCTCCCATCTTCATCTACGGCAGAGGAAACGCTTTCGCCCCGGAGGGAGGCGAGGGTCGGGTAGATCGAGCCAAGAAGAGCAGCTGGAAATCACAGCCCAGAAAGGGCCGCTCGCCCGGCCCAGCACAAAGCAGCGGCGCTTTTGTGCCCGCGGAGCCCCCCGAGCCCGCGCAGGCCCCGCCGCCCCCCGCCGCCTGCGCCTGCCCCTTGCACAGGTCCCGGGGACACGCAGCCAGGGGAGAAAGCAGTGATCGGAGAGAAATAGGGACACGCGCCACACCCAGAGGGAAAGGTGCCCGGCGGTGGCACCCACAGCACATACCTCCTTCCTGGCAGCCCTTGACACATGGACTTAGAAATCAGAAACTGAAAGGGAGCCGGCTGGGGCTCAGAGATTGCCACTAGTTTGTAGGAGCTGTAAGTCAGCCAACACTGGAAAGAAAGAGCGAGACTCCACCCATGGGGTGGGCCCATCGGGAAGGAAAAAAAAAAAAAAGTGGTCCTCGGCTGACGTCTGTCCCCACCCATGTCACTTCCTTTTAAAGCTACAATTTAGCAGCTGCAGGGAGGGAAGACCGCGCTGGGGGACTGTGAGCCGGCCCCTTCCCCTTGCACTTAGTGCCAGGCCGTGCTCCGGGGCTGCATGTTTGCAACCGGGCTGGGGAAGCTGCCGGGAGCAAGCCCAGCGCGCGCCAAGCGGCCTTTCTTCCCCGTCCTCCCCGGTCCTGTTGCATCCCCGGCCCCAATGGCTCCTCCGACCCCAGCGCCGGCCCGTCTGAGGGGCGACCTGGAAACCGTCCTCAATTGGCTCACGTTTCGTCCGGAAACGATCAGATCGTGGGGTGACACACCCGGGCTCTAGGATCCCCCTCACCTCCGTCGGCTGAGCTGGAGGAGACCGCATTCCACCGAGAAGCCCCCAGAGCACCTTCGACCAACGCAACGCTCAGCGCTCGGGGGACGGGGACGTTAGGCACCGGCAGGAGACGAGCTCGGAGGTCGGTGCATGGTGCCCCTTCTGCCTCCCGAGCCTGGCACCGCTGCCGATGCCCACCGCACACACGCGCAAACGCGCGCACACACGTGGCATTCATGGGAGGCGGGCTGGAGAGGGTCTGGGCAGACCTTGGTGATAAAACCGTGTCGTCACAACTTTACAAGAGGGAGGGCTGTTGAAAGTCTAGAAATGCCCGGGCTCCAACATTCCTAGAAAATTTTTCCGATCTCAAAAGAGTGAAGGTGTACGCCCTTCAGATGCTCACTGCGATGATAGCCATGATCACAAATGACACATGAGTATTTACCTATGGCTCTGGTGGTCACTCCGTTCTGCTGTTTGCAATTTACAGGGGAAAATAAAATGTGCTCACAAGTAGCTGGAGCATGTTGCAGAGTTCCTAAGAGCTACAAAAGTGCCCCAAACAGTGTGGCATGATAGCAGAGAGGATGGAAAGAGTTGTTTGGGTTGTGAGAGGGAAAAAGGCATTTGTAACTCAGGAAACAGGGTTTGGACTGAGTCCTATAGGGTGTGTGGCACTTTGATGGTCTGTGAGGGGGGACGATTGAACGTCTGGGAGAGAGAGAAAAGCAAAGATGAAAAAGGACATCTGTGGCAGAAAAACGGATCACAACAGAAAACCCATATATGACAATGGCCTATTTTAATATCCGCATGAAAATAAATTTGACCTTATAGTAATGCTTACAAAAGACGTTTATAGAAGTTTCTTGCAGCGAACACAATTTTTAAGAGTTCTCTCTCATAACTTTTCAAATGACATTTTACCATTCATTTGTTTCTAAGTTTGGTAGAAACTTGGAAGGGTTTTTCAAAGTACTTTTTAAATAGAGTGAGACTGTTTTTTATAGTTGGATCATGAATGGGAATTTATTGCAAAATTGACAAATTGCATAAAATGTGTGCTATGTTTATTACAAGTACAGCCAATGATTTCAGTGGAAACAATCAAAAATTTAAAATTTTGATAATCCACTCTCAGTACTTTAATGTCTTTATCCCATTATTATCATTATAATTATTATTATGTTTATTATTGTTAGCACTTTTCCTATCTAGACGGTGTTGCTCACCATCTCAATTTTTGATAATCCACTCTCAGTACTTTAATGTCTTTATCCCATTATTATCATTATAATTATTATCATGTTTATTATTGTTAGCACTTTTCCTATCTAGACGGTGTTGCTCACCATCTCAATGATCTCAGAAATATAGCTGAGAAATATGCGAGAAAAAAATTACTATAAAAATTTAAAGTTGAAGTACAACATGCAAGGACTAAATTTATGCATTTGATTCAGAGTCCCATTTAGAGTCTTTTCTTATTTTACATGCCCTTAATTAGCTATTTCTATTTAAACAAGGAACTGTGAATGTTTCCAGGTCATAACCATTCAGTTCAACAAATATTTATTGAGTATGCTAGTTGCTTAAAAACAAAAACATGTCTTAACACATGGACATTGCCCCAAAGTGCTCAAAGTCTTAGGAAGGGAAAGAAACGTGTAAACAATTAAGATTCAAATGGAGGCCATGATTGACATCTGTACAAGGTTCAGAGGTGGTCCAGAGAATGGGAAAAGGGAAGTGGGTGGGAGAGGAGTGTCTGCATTGTTTCTTAGCTCACAGCAAACTCTGAAAGGGGTGGTGGTGAGCAGTGTATTCGTCAGTAAGACAGTAAGAAATAAATACTGATTGGCTGGATAGAGAAGAAACAAATTTGAAAGAAGATACCAGAGATAAACTGGTAACTCAAAAAAGTGTACACAAATAGCCAATAACCAAACAAAAAAAGATGTGACTTCACATAAAAACACAAGCACAAAGGAAAAGATGTCATTTCTTTGCCTGTCCACTTGTCAAACATTCAGAAAACTATAATGCACAGTGGAAACAGGAAGCTCTTTGTGGTGGGCTTTCTCCTCTCTTGCTGGTGACAGTAAGTTGATACAATCTTTGGAATTAAACAAGATTTTCCTTGAGCCTTTAAAATGTTCATACTCCTTAATTCAATAATTCAACTCACAAGGATTTATACCAGGGAAGTAAGCAAAAATAAATTCAAAGATTGAGGTACGTGTATATTCATCAGAGCCATTTATTATAGTAAAGACTGGAAATCATCTAAATGTCTGAAGTAGAGATGAGCTTCATGAATGATGTGACACATTCACGACATCATAACTGGAAAGGGAACTAAGCTATAGAGAAAATATTACCTTCATGTTATAATTATATGAGTATATATTATATTGTGTGTGGTTGACTAAGTGTGCCCCACAAAATTCATATCTACCCAGAACCTCAGAATATGACCTTATTTGGAGACAGGGTCTTTAGAGATGTAATTAGCTAATATGAAGTTATACTGGATTAGGGTGAGCTGTAGACCCAATGACTGGGGTTCTTATAGGAAGAGAGAGGACATAGAGAGATAAACACAGAGAGTAAGTCCACGTGATGACAGAGGCAGAGACCGGAATGATGTGTCTATAAGCCAAGGAATGCTGGCAACCACCAGAAGCCAGGAGAGTTGCGTGGAACAGATTCTCCCAGAGCCTCTGGAAGGAACCAACCCTGCTGACACCTTAGTTTTGGACTCCTAGTCTCCTGAACTGTGAGAATATATTTCTGCTGTTTTAAGCCACACAGTTTGTTGTTATGGCAGCTCCAGGAAATTAATACAGTGTGGAAAAAGTCATTAAACTGTTAACAATGATTATTTCTGGATAGTGAGATTGAGGATGACATTTATTTGCTTCTTTGTATTTTATTGCATCCTGAAAAACTTTCTACAGTGTGGAAAAAGTCATTAAACTGTTAACAATGATTATTTCTGGATAGTGAGATTGAGGATGATATTTATTTGCTTCTTTGTATTTTATTGCATCCTGAAAAACTTTCTATGGTGAATATGTATGACTTTTATAATAAGAGGAAAATTATGATTAAAAAACAAATAACCCAATGTTTCTAAAAGCACAGTGTTTTAGGGCAATTTAGGTCAGAAGCAAATAATAATCACTGATGATTATGACACGTTAAATCCCCAAGACTAAAGTATTTTCAGAGCCCTCCGTACATGCAGAACTCTGTGTATTTCAGAAACTTTTTTGGACCTAAATTTCAGTACTCAAAATGATAAATATCATTTATCTGAAGTGTTAACTTGCATATCACATATTTAACTGCTGTGCATTTCAAACTGCTTATTCCCTTAACACATTGTTAGCTACACATGGACCATATTTTTGCTTTATTTCTATTTGCCTCTTGCTGTGAACATTCATACAGATATCTGTATAAATCTATAAACACAAGCTGAAGATTTCCTAAAGTTATAAAATATGAAGATGTCATAGATTTGCAATTATGATTATTTCACTGTATACCAAGTTAGGAATTGAGATTGCTTAGAGAAGACAAAGAAAAAGTGTAAGTAGTAAAGTTAATTTGATATCTGGAATGTATAATCTTATATTTAATAGATGCATATTTCAACAAACTCTAGTTGCATTTTTAAAATATGTCATATATATGTCTTTAATGACCAACAAGCTCTTAAAGCAATCTTGTTATTATTGCAATCATTTTAAGTACACTCAAATAGGTTTAATATTAGCTATCATTGAGGAAAGTGCAGAGGAACTAGACAAAATATTCTCCCTAAACAACAACGATTAGCCTGTTCTTCCCAAAAGACAACCTATTTGCAGAACTGTCTGTTGACCAGCTCTCAAAGCATCTCAACTCTGAATTTTGTCCTAAAAATTGTTCTCGGTATTCACTTAGCTCCTTTCTCTTTTAGCCATCATCAGGTCAATTCAGCCTGGCTGCGGATGACCCCGGAAAGTCTTCCCTTCCCCTCTCTTGAATCCAGACAATGAGCAACTTGAAATCCCATGATTCAGGAGCAAATAAATCTACTGTGATAGAAGAAACTGAATTCAAATCAGTTAATGCCCAACGGATTGGCAGAAAACTGAAAAAGATACCAGTTTCACAACCAATATGAATACTAAAACTTAGCACGTGTATTCTTCATAACCAAGTGAGAAGAAAGGACATTAGCCTGCGTGGTATTTAACTCTGGGTGATTCTGCTGTCATTGCACTTTATGTCTTGTGTGATCTGGGAAGAAAAATTTTGATAAGCATGCATTAATTTCATCAACAGAAAATTAAAGCTATTTTCAGTTTCTAAAATAAGCACTTATTGTAGTCAGTTGTTGATACATTACTTTTCTTTATTTACAACCATGGAAGCTTATAGTATAAGGGCACTGTAGAGGGGAACCTGATTAGAGTGTGAAGGTAGACACAGCAGCCGCATCACCTGGGGGTGTGTTAGAAATGCAGAATCTCAGGCCCCCACCCCAGACCTAGTGAATCAGAAACTGCATTTTAGCAGCATCCCCAGGAGATTCAACCACACGTTGAAGTTTGAGAAGTACTTGTTTTAGTCCAAATCCCTCGTTTTACAGAGGACAGATCAGAGCCCAGGGAGGCTGGGTTCGCTTGTCCAAGGTTACACAAATAACAGGAAACACCTGAAGCAGACTCAGTGTCTAATGATACTTACCTCCGAATTCTTCCATCATATTTCCTAGGATAGCAGATTAAAAGACAAGTCTGAAAAAAATTTATTGTCATGAAAATGGTAAAAAGAGAATTTCTACTTAGACTCATGATTGTTCTATGAAGTGTCGCTATTAAAAGTCTCTCCATAGTCCATGCTTTCTGAGTTTTTACATAGTCAGTTTTATCCAAAAAAAAAATAGCTTTGAGATTTGGTAACTATCAGACCAAAGTTGGCAAAAAGTATAGGATAACTTTTCTCCATGATCACTCATTCTATGTTGGTTTCAAGCCATGTCTAGTTCCATGAAACCTACCTTCAAGGTTGATTTGCAAGAGAGGCAACAAAAAAGAAAAGAATCCCCACCGGCCTGCTTGTTTCTCCTCTTGCCGT